TTTTTTTTTTTTTTTTTTTTTTTTTGTTTCGGCTCCAGCAGGGTCGGGAAGAGCAGAAGCACGGGTGAGGAAGAAAAGAAGGAAAGAAAAAAAAGAAAAAGAAAGAAGCTGATCCTTATCCAATTATTTTCCTCTTTTAAGTCCCTCAACTTTTGAACATTTTGTCATTAAGCCACAAAACAACATTTCCTCACAATCAAGTCCCTAACTCACACTTAAATATTCTAGAAAATTTTGGGGTATCACATGACCTTATCTTCCAAGGTCGCCTTCTCGAAAGTCAACTGCTTGCAACTTTCAGTGAGCTCGTGGGTTTGTGCATGAGCTTCCTACTTGCACTCAAATAGTGCGACCGCATAGCTAAACGCCTACCATACAATTCCTACGGTTAGCTTCCAACATTACATTGAAAGAGTAGGATAGCACAAATGTTTTATGAAAGTACTTACGTCCATCATTTTTAACATTGTAGGATTACTCCCATACTGCTATATGTAGCCTTTTGCACGTTGCCAGTCCACCGGAGGAACAAAATTCTGCATACCCTGTAACATGGCAGCCTGGCAGTTAGTTTTTGTGTAACTAAAGCCTTCAAGGTATGCAATCTGTGGACCCAAGGTAGACGCAAATATAGGCAATGCCTTAGCAATGTCACATGTGAAGGCAGAAGGCACGTTAAATGAACGCACCATAACCGATTGAACAAGTTGAGTGTCGGAGTCATTCTCCGCTGAATAAATGGCACGCCGTCCTTAGCATTGGAGTCCTCACGAGCACGCCTTTAAGAACTCGAAGGCACAGCTTCAACTCTTTGCTCGATATGGGACCTCGATACCGAGCTCAAACCCTTGTGAGACGAGCTACAAGACAACAACGCAGGTCGTTCATCAAAGCATGTATGCCTTTGTGAATTGCTCTCTCCCTGACGACCCCGTGAGCACTAAGCTCGTTCATGTTGCCTCTCCAGTATGCTACTCATCTCTCCTGCACAAACAAATACAATAAGACTTAGATCGGCTAATAATCACAATTTACAATAAAAATATACCTTCGGCATATAGGTTTGCAATATCCACAAACCCAAATACCACAAGCTGCTCAGGGGTAACCAGGGCCTCCAAGTCTACTAATCCCTCCGCCTTTACATAATCTAATAGCTTGTTCTTCAAATCCACATCGTTTGGCACCAGTGTGGGATAGTTCATGTAAGTATGACCTGAGGCCATTCAGAGATATAGGGAACTAGCCCATTATTTATTTTCTCCGTTCGCATGTCACGAATAAAAATGAACTGCCTCTTCCACTTGGCAACTTTATTCCTTATATTCCTAAATAGCATCATATTTTCTCTCCCGGAGATGTAGTACCACCTCGTTCGGGTACTACTCAATCTGCATAGAAATAACAACCTAAACATTATTACTTTGGTAGGTATCTCCAGCCTCTCACACAACAACATGTATCCAATAATAAACTTTATGTTGTTGGGGGTTAATTGCATCAGAGCCAGCTCGTACTTTGCTAATAGATCAAAAATTAATCCTGGCAAAGGAAAAGGGAAACTGACGTTAAAATGGTCTACATATATTGGTATCCACCCATTTGTGACACTGTGCACACCCTTTTATTTTTGGTGCCAGCTCGTAATTAGACGGTTCTAGGGATCTGGTATTGCTTCACCATCTCCTCCAATTTTTTATATCCCTTAACAGTAGCCGTGCCATGAGCTACTTCATAATGAAGCGCCGCCCTGAACCTAAACCTAGCAGGCAAGTTGTGTGGCCCCTTACGAATGTTACTCAGTTTGCCACTAATGGTTTTATCCTCCCATTTTTCAAGCACTGGTACATCCTCCTCCACATTAGCCATCGAGGGGCTCCTAGCACCTTCCCATCGTTGGGTGTCCTCCCTGGTGTAATGTTTTCCAGCAAATCTTGTAACTTTGGCAGCACTATCATTGCAATCAGCCCCACTGAGATGACACCTTCTTCTTCTTCCCTCCCCTAATTACCCTGAAGCTCCCGAAATTCTCTAAAGAAGTCCATTTTTACTTGAATATAAGGAATGTAATGTTCTTTCGCGTCTATGGTTTCTAAATCCATAAGCTTCAAGTACTTCCATTGCAAAAAACGACAGAGAATATGGTGAAAGGGAAATGCCAAAATGGTTATATGATCATTTCTGTTCCTTTTCTCAAACAGACTGTGTAGCCTTAATTGTTTCTGATGTGCCAGTTAAAACCCCACACGTGGCAGCTATTTACAACTTGGTGTGCAATGTCCATTGGCTTTAGGTGTCACATCTCTTCAAATGCTTAGCCAGCATTTATTACAGAGAGGGTAGAGAGATATCTGCTAGTAGAAGGATATCAACCGAATCTCCCCAGAGATTTGCTCCATTTTAAATTTTGAAAAATTGCCAAGGTGGAGATCATCATGCGTTTGCTCATTTTCACATTAACGTGGACGAGCTCACCACGTAACACCTTGTATGCAACACACATCTTACTAGGAGACTCCATCTCCTTCAAGACCTACTCCACTTCGAAGTTTGAAAATCATCATACGAGCTTGCCTTTTACGAGCTCGTTGAGTTCACAAATGCGCCTAATTCACCCAAGTAAGATTGCCATCGTATCAGGTCGCTCATTCACAGTCGGGCGTATGAGCTTGTTCTATTCATAGATACCTAATCTAAATTCAAGTGGATGAGGTCATTCTAAGGTCAGGTCACCCAGGTGCAGCCTTTTCCCCAAATGCTTCTTCATCTAGGGTTCAGCCCGAATGCATCATGGCTCGTTCAAGTCAAACCTTCGCATTTGGATGTGCATTCTATATTATAATCTTTCAACTCGGCCGCTAACGAGGTCGTGCATAAAGTCAAAAGATTGTAGGCCTAATTCTTAAGGCTGAACATTGGACCACAAATGCAATTACCCCAGTTCGTTAACCGAACACTGAGGAGGGAGTAATGTTGGCAATGGATCCAACATTCAACTTGGGCCATATGCAATAGGCCGAATTGTCTATCCTTAAGCCAAAATGAAAATATATCCATACAACAGTCCAGACATGCCCATGTGGGTTTGTACAAGTGGACCAATCAAATGCTTACACGTGTGGCCTCGTGTCATCACCCGGGGGCTATAAACACCCCCACCTACCTCCACTCAAGATAATAATTCCATTACGTTTTTCTCTCTACAATTACTCTTGAGAGCTTCTCTCTCTAGATTATTGAATATTGCTAACTTAAGCATCGGAGTGTTCCCCCTGAGGATCGAAGATTTTCAGGTGTTGAAGCAGTTGAGGATCTCTACCGTGTAGGTTTGTTAAGCTACCCAAATAGTTGGTGAGAAAATTTGATGAGTGGTTGTTGGTTATCGGGAAGAAGCTAGTTTTTGTTCTTTTTTTTACATTAGATCATAATCTTAATTAAAGTTTTATTTCTTTTTTTGGGAATAAGTACAAAAAAAAAGTGTTTTTTTTGTTTAAACTTAAAATGTGGAACCCACCAGAGATGTTATTTAAGGGCCCTGAGATGATTAATGACTTGGCTTTTTTCGGCCAAGTTTATCGGATGTGGTGTAATTGCCATGGTATTAAAAAATTAAAAAGATGTAGTCTATGGCAGTGTTTTTGTACCCAGCTCGGTAGTTGACCTATTTTGGTCACTAAGTTTGGTTTACCTGGTTGAACTGGTTCACCCAATCGATTGACTAAAAAACATTTTTTTTTACATTTTTATTAGATTTTACATTTATATATTACTTTCACTTAATTCTTAAGAAGTAATTATCATAAAATCAACTCAAATAGATGCAATAGTTGAATTTTGTCAGAATATGACATTTTTTCTACAATTTACACAAATATATAAAATTATTAAGAAAACCTCCAACTCCAAATCACAGTAAATTAGGAAAAAAAATAAATAATGTATATTTTAATCAATTTATTCATCATTTTAATTTCAAATTTTTTTATTTCTTTTAAATTGCCAAAGTATTTTGGCATTACTCCTTTCTATTTGTTTTTCATTTTTCCTACAATTTTTTTCAAAGTGTCTTTCATAGGTTTTTCAATGCAAGCACCCGTTGATGTATGAGTAAAATGAGATGCAATATAAAAATTTAAAATCAAATTATCAAAGCACAGCTAATTAAGAAAAAAAATAAAACAAAGCATGACAAATTAAAACATTTATAAATTTAATTTTTCAAAATCTTACACAAATCTATTATGTTGGTGGAACCGTGGAAGAAGGAGAGGACGGTGACTGGCAGAGGTGAGAGGCAGATGCAAATGCAAATCTATGCTGTCAATGGAAGAAGGAGAGGAAGGGGAGCGGCAAAAGGCTGAGATCGGGGAGGCAGTTGTGGAGTTGCTAACGGCTGAGATCGAGGAGGCAGTTGGCTAACAGTGACTTCGCTACTCTGTTTTCTTTCTGCTTTCTGGTTGCTTTTGCACAGAGACGAAGGGCTTGCTTTCTGGTTTTGCTTCTGCACAAAGACAACATACTGGAAGCCGCAGACGGAGGTGGCTGAGATTGGACAGGCAAAGGCCAACAATGGTGACTGGTGCATGCTACTAGTGGTCTGGTGCAGTGGTGTTGTTTGTCTCTTCCCTTGCTCTCTTTTGTTTCTGATTGCTTTTGGGTTTGCTTTTGCAATTTGCATTGAAATAGGAAGACTCGATCATCTGAGAGTTTTGTTTTTTTAATTGATGTGAGATTTTAATTTCTAATTTAAGTTAATGGTGTGGGTAAGTTATATTAAAAATCAAATAAATTAATTTAATTAACATTAAGTCATTAAAAACCCAAATTCATTTAGCCCAGCGGGTCGAAACGGGTGAACTTGCAAAATGGGCTAAAGTATGAGCCCGGCTCGTTTTCAAGCTCGAGTTTGGTTCAATCGGTTCAACTGACTAGACCAGGCTGATCCAAAAACATTGGTTTATGGTCTTTTACTTGTTCATACCACATTTAACTGACACCAGAATTAAGGATTAATTGGACTATCTTGTGTCGTATTGTAGTTGTAATTGTTAAAAGAATTGTATTATATTATTATAAAAAGTATTTTAACATTTAGTAATTACAATTTAAAAAATTATTTATTATAAAATTATTTAATTAGATATATTATTATTTAAAATTTAATTAATTAATAATTTAATATATAATATACAAAAAGAATTCAAAATTTTATTAAATAATTTGGGAATTATATTAATTTTGAATAAGATGGCTTTTGTATTCCTTTTCAAAAAGTAAGAATGGATAATTTATCAAATGCATAAATTACGAAAGATACTTTAAATATATGTGAAAAGTATGGATAGCATTGTCAAACAAAACCTAAATTTGTACAACTTTTAAAGTTAAGGAATTAAAAAAATATGTAAAAAATTTAAGAGAAGAAAATTATGTAAAATTTAAAATTGAAAAATTAAAATTGATATTTAATCATAAAAAAAATGGTTAGATGTTTATTTTAGTTCATTGTATCATTTTATTATTTGAATTTGATTAATTTATTTTTTTATGAAAATAAAATTATCACATAAATTCATATATTTCTATAAACTTAAATTTATCAAAATCCTTATCCCTCAAGCTCACTAGGTGAATAACCCTCTAGATTTTTATTATAGTGGCAATGAGTACATTCCACAAATCAAGAGAAGCATCTAGCAACATATCATAATCACCCAAAGTGATTGAAAAATCGATGGCTTCCACAACCCCTCAATTCTTTCATCACTGATATTTTAATCAAGCAAGATGCATACTATGTGTATCATCTTAAAAAATCTTATGTAATTTCTTTGATTCTTGAGATAGGCATTCTTCTTTAATTAACACTTTCCTTCATAATGTAGTCATGGACTTGCAAGTAGCCCTTTTTCAATCAAAAGATCTAGAGATATTTTCTCTTTTTAAACTTGAGGGGACAAATCTTATCCTAACTCACCCATTATCCTTATACAATTCATGATATATTCAATAACTATATTACTTCTCACATGTAATGGCTATTTTAACAATATCAAGTACATAAGTTCATACATAAAATAATAATGATATCTAGTATAATAATGATCTTAACTGAAAGGATCACTGACACTCACATCATGATAAAAGGCAATTAATGACATGTACATGTAGTGTTCTTATAACATGTACATGTAGTGTTTTTATAGCTGGTTAGTTCTATGCATTTATGTTCTTTGAGTCACTAATATGTAATACATGACTTTGTGAAAAGTAGTTTTGGCACCTAGTAAAATCTCACATATATTAGTCTTTATATCAATTGATGTTCTATCTCAATAATATATACGATTAATAAACAATTTAAGAATAGTGCTATTGTATCATAAAGTTCTCATTAATAATGATGGCTACTTATTTTTTGATGCAATAACCCATTCTAAAGACTTTATCAATGTTTAATATATGCCAAAGAATAATAGTTCATATTCGACAAAAAATGCCATAAATATTATATAAAACATAATAAGTATAATAACAAGTATACTTTAATAGTATCTCACTTGCACTATAGTTGATTGCTAGCAAATCTAACACTGTTAACTCTCACATGTAAATGATGCTCATATTAAGATATGGCTTTAGTTAATGGGTTTGCAACATTGTTCACTGTCAAAACTTTACTAATAATAAAATCACCTCTCCACACAAAGCTTGTAAGAAGGTGGTATTTTCTATATATATGCTTGGCTCAATAATGAGACTGTGGTTCCTTGGCAAGTGCTATGGCTGCATTGCTATCACAGCAATTGAATCAATAATTCTAGGCATAACACCTAAGCTTAAATACAAACCTATAAATCCAAACTGCATTTTTAGCTACCTCAAAAGCTACGACATAATTGGATTCTTTTATAACTGGTGACTTATTCCTACTCAAAGCTCTTCTAACTTAATATTGAGGCCAAACACAAAACTAGTATGTGATCTTAGATTACCGTAATCTACTTTGAAGCTAACATCTATGTAGCCTCTTATTAGTAGCTCTTTATCTCTTCCATATACAAGGTCTAGTTGTCATACTCTAAGCATACGAGATTTTAAATATTGTACAAAGCGTTGCAAATATAATTGATCTTATTACTTATAGGATCTTACACATCTTTACCCTCTCATCTTGTGTCTGTTGACACATCTTCTAGGAAACATGTTTGCCGTGTGACATAAGAATTAATCCTTTCTTGAATTGTTTCGTGCTAAATTGCTTGAATACCTTATCCATGTATATTCTTTGACTTATCATAACAACCATTTATATCTATGTAGATCTTTATGCCTATGATACAAGCTACTTCACCTAAGTCTTTCATACAAAAGCACTTGCCTAACCAAGCCTTTATAAACACCAAAGCATGTATATGTTTTCCTATAATTATGTCTTCAACCAATACTACTAGAAAAACCATTGCACTCCCACTAATCTTCCTTGTAAACATAGGGTCACTTTTCTTCTTGATGAAGCCTAACCTCTTGTCTACTTCATCAAAAACAAATATTTTAACTCCTAAAAGCTTACTTGAATCCATAAATGGGTTTTGGTAGCTTGCACAACTTTTTGGCATCAATTTGCCAAATCTCATAATCATGTTATATAGCTTTTGCAAATAAAATCCAAATAGATTTAAGCATGGCTATTGGTGAAAAGGTCTTAGTAGAGTCTATGTCTTAATGTTGCTTGAAACCTTTTTCAACCAACCTTTTTTTGTAGGTAAGAACATTAAATTTCATATCCCTTTTAGTTTTTAATAAATTCATGATTATGATTGCTTGGTCGTTTACTCTTAACATAAGTTATGCTTGTTTGATCTCTTAACATGATGAATCTAATGTTCCCAATGTGAAACATTTTAAAATCTATTTTGTCTGCCTATGGCAGTTATGTATTGTGTTTTGTCCAACCAAGGGATGTTAACACTAGAAAATAGGTGAAACCAAGTTCTTTATTGATGAAGAAGAAGAGAGAGTTTACAATGGTTGAGAGAATGAGAGAAAAGATAGGAAATAAAATATACGATTTGAGATTCCAAAGCTTTGAAATCCTCTTCCCTAGGTCTAAGTTGGTTATTTATAATAGAGTACATAAAGTTTCCCTAAGATTATATCTCTATGCTATAAAGAAATAAGTATTATATTCTTTATAGGATTTCTAGTCTTATCGAACTTTTGAGCTATGGGAAGGGTTGCCCAACAAAGATTTCCTTTTGGGATAAAAACTCTTCTTTTCTTGGTATTTACTCTTTTAGTCTTTGTAGAACTCTTATAGGATACCTTTATGTGTCCTAAATGATATATGATTCAATTTTTGATATAAAATCTAAACCCTAACGAAGAAGCCTGAATGTAGTGAGAATTGTCACAGTCATTCTTGTCTCCAAAAAAGGTTTCAAATCTTGATTTATGAAATTATGCTCTCTCTCTCTCTTAAGTACTTCAAAAGATGTTGATTTCATCTATCATTTGTTTACTCAATCCTCTATCTTCACAAGTTTTCTAAAAAGGTTTTGCATTCACCTCTTGACTTTTGAAAAGTGTACAAAGTGTACAAAGTTTAAAATTTCTATTGTTTACAAGTTTTTGGTCTCTGTGTAATAAATATTTTGAACCTTTATTGCAAAGATTTTGTTTCCAACCATGACTTCCTCATCAATAACCTTAGTAAGGAATAATCATGTGGGATAAAAACTAACCTTAAGGGAAAAAGAGTAAAAGAGTTAAACATAGTCTTTCCTCTATGCCAAGAGTTTTTAGAATAGTTTTTAATAAAAATTTTGTGTTGAGTAGATGTTTTACTTCTTGTCCTTAATTGATGTAGATCATTCAAGATGCCTTCGTCTATTAAGAATCGTGCCTTTTCATATGCTAAGATGTTTTGCTTCAGTTCCATACTTGCTTAACTATGTCACACTACTTCGTTCACATGTTTAGTGAAGATATTCTAAACACTTAATCTTAGATTTTGAAACTTGCTTTATCTTTCTCTAGAAGCTACATGATTTAGAGATTTTGTTATGCTATTCACTTCATTTCTTTTGCATAGTTTTTAGAAAGATGTGTGTCTTTGATTATTTTGCTACAATTTATGGATCTATATTCTCTGATTGCATAAGCCTTTTTATAGAGTTGAAGGTTCAAGGCTTTTTGTTGTTCAAAATCTTTCATTATTTCTTCTTCTTGCCTTTCAATGAATAGTTCAATGAAGTGGGAACTATTTTAGTTATCCATGCTTTACACAGAAGTTTGGAAAATTTGTCTTGTTTCCATATTTTTAACTTTTCCTGAGTTGCTTTGTGTATCTCTTTAGCTTTTGAAAGTTGTGAAGTTTGAAATCTCTTTGATTCAAAGATTTCGTTGTGATGGTACATACCTCATTACAAACTTTGCATGTAAAGCCCAATAGGATAAGAACCTATAAGGCTTTGATGTGTGTACTACATCATGTTCTAGGGATTTAGATTTATTTGAGTAAAAGATCTTGTCACGCCCCAAAACCCGAATCCGGGGATGTGGCAGACGCCGTGCACTCGTGATAGAGTCCCACAAATGCACAAGGTTCGGAACTTAATCATACCACAATCTGATACCATCAAAATCTGAAGATCAAATCTTAAAATCTGCTCTGATATCATAAATCTCCAATACACTCTAGTTTACAAGATCATGATTTATCTAAATCTATATCAATCTCAAAATGGTTAGCCTTCTAACTCGTCACTTCTCGTGGTTTCTCCGTCCTCGGTTTCGCTTCCTGAAATGGTGGACAAGGAAAACTATGAGATAAACTCAGTAAGTAAAATATGGAGTGTCCCTTATTAAACTTATAACATGCCAACAAGTATAATCATAAAAACAGATACGGGTACAGAAATGAAATAGACGTCTCCTCTATAGGTCACAGCCAATGTTATAAACCTCCCACTGGCAAGCACACTATTTGCTGGTGTATAACCCCCACTAACAGGGTTGAACGAACTGGTTCTACCAATAACATGTCGACATGTGCTAGCGTATAATCCCCACTAGCAGGGTCACTAATAACATGACCACATCGAAGACAAAACAGGCAGAAGATAACAGAATAATCATAATTCCCAATCACTTTCAAATCATCAGGACAATTAATTAAATTTCAAGTAGGCATGCTGAATTCAATGGAACACATAATAATCTCATTTCAAATCAGTCATGCTCATATTTGTGTAAAATGGGTTTAGTCCCGCCACCACTTCAAAAATAAATCAAAACATGCTTTTAAAAACTGTACGGGCATTACCATAAATTTACTTACCGCAAATTGCATAAAACTGAGCACTCAATTCACGTACTAAAGTACCCCAAGGATCAAGAACCTAATCAAATATCCGAGAATTAATACCGTACTATCATAAATTCACACTGAAATCATCATTAAGATTACCCTTAATCACGATGCTATTTCTATATATCTCCACATTATTAGATATCTCCAAATTCGTTCTTATATCGCAAACTAATAATTTAAATCCCCGTTAATTGTTGACCCTCGGTGTGTGAACAGTACCCCGTAAACAGTGCCTGTGAACAGAGCCGTGAACAGTAATTACACTTCCAAAAATTGGCAAAACCATTGCCTATCTCACGGGATTTTCTCTCCAAAAATCACAGCAGTCAATTAACTAATTTTCTACATGAATTAAGCTTAATTATGCTCTAATTACTACCAAAATTCATCCCCTAATTCAATAAAATTCGGACAGTGCAAGGGCAGCCACTAGAGGATTTAAATTCAACAACCCAAGCAACAATTAATTGATAAATTCGACTTGGAGGAGCTGTCCATACCGGAATCCAGCAAGCAAGGCCGGAGCTGCAATTTGGGGAGGAGCCGGCGGGAATGCAGGGAAAATTCAGGGGGAATCTACCAAAAATTGAAGGAACCAAGAGCAATTAAGGTAAACCCAAGGTAATTAAAGCTAGAGAAGGGAGATTCATGGCTATTTCTTACCAGAAAATCAAAGCAATTCGCCCCCACAACAAGAGCAGCCGGCGGACAGAGCAAAGCAGATCTGGATTTTCCAGCAGGGGGGGGGAGAATTTCTGGGTTCAATTTGTGTTCTAGAGCAAGAAAAGAAGGCCAAAAACCAATCTTTCTCACCGGTTTTCCAAGGCATGGCTGGGTTCCTCTTTTTTTTTCTTCCGGGTGGCTGCAGCGGGAAGAAAGAACAGCAGAACGCGAAATGGCTGGGGAAGAAGGAAGAAAAAAAGAAAAGAAGAAAAAGAAAAGAAGCTGATCCTTATCCAAATTCATTCCCCTTTTAAGCCCCTCACTTTTGAAATTTTGGCAATTAAGCCCAAAACAATATTCTTTCTCCAATTTAGTCCTTAACTCACACTTATTTATTCTAGAATTTTTGGGGTATCACAAATCTAATAGTTTTTTATTTCTCTTATCTCTGCCTAGATTGATTGTAGCTTTCTCACAACTCTCCTCCTCCAAAGTTCTTTTTGGAAACCTTTGCTTTTCTCAACACCCATTCTTCTTCAAGAATATTTTTAGGTTTACAACACTCTTTATATCTTTGGTAGTAGTTCATTATTTAGACTTGTAAAAACCCCTTGGTTTCCTTTAACAAACCTTACCTTTCTCTTAGAGTTTCTTTATTGGTACCTTGATCTTAATAACTTGGATTCATAAATAGGCAACCTTATTTCTATTTGTATCACAACTTTAACCCTACATGAAGTGCCCCTTGACTACACTTTAATATTTAATAAATTTTCTTTGCCAATCAAAGAAAACAAAAAAAAAAACAACTTTAGGTCTCTATGTTAGTTTTAACAGAGTTTCCTTGGTAAGTGTGCAATGGCTTGTTCTATATGCCCATAAGGTGTAGGGTAGTTCCTCAGTGCACGAACCTGTAACATTTCTGACATTTAAGAATTATCTTATTCACAATTTCTAATTGTTTGTGTAATCTTGGATGTGCTTTGTCAAGGGAAACCTCTACTTTGTTCTAAGGTTTAGCTATGATTTGATTGTGAATCTTTTTTTTTAAATTTTTTTATTCTTCTTTATGAAAATCTTGGCAAGATGTGTTTAATGCAACCTCTTTTTATTTTTTGCTTGTTGCTGCCATGAATTTAGTTATAGCTTGCTCCTTCACATCATTGTTTGGCTAGAATTCTTTTTCAAGTTCCTGAATTTGATGCTTTATCTTTTACTTGATATGGTTTCTGCAAAACATGCCTCATTAAATAGTTAGCCAAAACCACAATTTTATGCCTAGGAAAATAATACCTAACTACACAAACTCATTTTTCCAAAAGTGAGTATTTGTTGGTTATTAACAAAACATGCCTCATTATGCACTTCTCTATCTTGAAATATGTGAGTTGTTTGTTTGCACACGTATAAGAAAGGTGTGTTTAAGGAAAAGCTTTTTTGATAGATAGAAGTTAAGTCCCTAGAGCCTTTATTAATTTTTGTGCAACATTTTGTGTTAGATACCATTGTTTAATGCAAAAAAAGTGTTTAATGCTTCCTTGGAGGTGCAGGTAGTCGACATTGATGCACAAGATTTATATTCCTACATCAGCTCATAGCATCTTGTGTTTGTTTTGGAAGCGATTAGGTTTTGTGCAAAAGAAATTTAGCATACCTCTATGTTGTTTGTATCATGGCTCATTTTGAACCTGTGTTCTTCAATTGAATTCTTGTGCTCGAAGCTTTTGGCCTCGATGGCCTTCTCCTAGAAGTTCTCTATAAAGAGGTTAGTTTTCTTAGAAACACAAGAAGTTGCATAATTGACAAGAAAGAAAACTAGTTAATTATCCATAACCGTAAATATACTCAGTTGGAATTGCAATTTTCCTTTTAAGAATTGTATGTGTAGAAATTTGAAATGTTTATCTTGCTTTGTGAACATAGGTTTCAATGGTGTTTTTGTCTCCACTATTTATTACTATTGAATGTGAATATAACAAAGCTTCTTGGAATCTGAATTGTGGTTGTTTACTCTTCTTCCTTGCACAACATCTTAGATCAATTTCATGCTTTTTGGATTCTATGCATGTCAAAGGTAGTGGCAACAACAAAACTTTTATGTGGCAAAGCTTTTCTATAGTAATAGTTGGCTTCCTTTTGTTTTAGTCATGTTCTAGGGCTTGTAGTGCTTCATGGGTGAAGAACTCTACCCCAAAGTGGGTGATAAATGTTAACACTAAAAATTTGATGAAAATAGATGGAACTTAGTTCTTTATTGAAGAGGAAGAAGAAAAAGTTTACAATGGTTGAGAGAATGAGAGATAAGATAGAAAATAGAATAGAAGATCCTTTAAAGATTGAGAAGATCTAAAATGCATTCTCTATGTCAAAGCTGGGGTACTTATAATAAAGTACATGGAGTTTCCCTACGATTATAGTTTAAGCTATCAGGAATTAAGTATTCTATTCCTTGTAGGATTCTTAGTCTTGTGGGACATCCTTATTATGCAAAATGTGGATCTAGCAAATTTCTTGCTAGGATAAAAACTCCTCTTTTCTTAGGATTTTCTTTTATGATACTTTTACATGTTTTAAGACTCAATTTTGAGTAATAGCAAATATACATCTGTAGTGGCAAACTTTCTAAATAAATTTGGTAAAATTGGACCCAAATTGAAGATTTAACTTAACTCATGGGGGTTAAGTCATGGATTTAAAGTATTAATTCGAAATTTGATATGACCCAAACCAAAATTATCTAGACTTGACTGAGTGAGGTCAAGGTCAAGTAGGGTCATGTCAATCCAAAGTAATTCAACTAAAACTCTAATTTGAACACATTTGATTTGACCCATTTACCAAATCTACTTCTGAACTTGTTTTTGAAACTTTGTTTTGCAAATGGTTTTACAATGCCTGCTGATGAAGCATGTTTTTCATTTTAATTTTGGTATAAGTATAGGAAACAAAATGTTTTATAAATTCTTTCTAATAATTATTTTTAGAGGATATATTTAAAATTTTATTTTTTTAATTAATTTTTTAAAAATTAACTTTTAAATTGAAAGTTTTATTCATATATATTATGTTTTTTAATTTCAAAATAATTTAGTAAGTTTAACTATTTTATTAATTACACAAAAGTTAATTTTGTTAAATATATATCAATAAATAATTTTTTTATTAAAAATTATAAACATTAAATTAATATAAAAATTAATATACATAATTTATATAAATAAAACTTTTAATTTTGAAAAATCTTAATTAAAAATAAATTTTTAAGCATATATTTAAAAAAAATTAAGATACTAACCTATTCTACAGTACCCGCAAAGTATAAATTCTAATATCATGTCTCATCTAAAAGGTCAAACCCCTTTTTGGTCCTACAACTATTGTATGGACCTTTGATTTGGTCCCTAAACTGAAAAAAATCTTGATTTGGTCCCTACTGTTTACCAATTTGGTCCCACGTTGGTCCTTCCATTAAAAATCACGTGACGTGTCATGTTAATTTACAACAACGTGATGACATGTCAAAATATTAAATACACATGGAAAGATAGCATAGCTAACATGAATAAAATTAATGATATGGCAAAAAATATTCATATGACAAAAAGAACTTAAAAAAAAAATTTTTTTTTCCTTCTCTTTCCCTTTCTCTTTCCCCTTGGGGTCCTAGGCTCGTTCGAACCCAGCATACAATGTGTTCCATGTCCTAGGCTCTTTCAAACCTAATAGACACTAGGTTCCATGGAACCCAACAACTGTTGGGTTTGAACCCAACACACTTGAGTTTGAACCCAATAAATTTTTTGTTTTGTGCAAAAAATCAAAAAGATTTTCTATTTTTTGTGAGTTTTGTTGTTTAATGATGAAGAAGAATGGAATTCGATTTCATTGAATTAATTGTTTAATTCAAAAAAATGGTGATAAAAGTGGACTTGGAGAAGGCAAAGAGAGAGAAAAAGAAGAATGAATGAAGAAGATTTGAGAAAGAGAAGCTTGGAGGAAGAAGATGAGGACAAAATTGTTATTTTGGTGGGTTCTACTCACTACAAACAAAATGCCCTATACCAACGGAAGTTTATACCAACGGATAAAAAATCCGTCTGTATAGATCATATATACCAACGAAAAACTTATGCCATTAGTATACATAGGTCTATACCAACGGAAAAATATATCCGTTAGTATAGACCTGGGTCTATACAAACGGAAATATATATTCGTTAGTATAGACTTAGTTTATACAAACGGTTTAACAAATATCCGTCTATATACAGTGTATCTATTCCAACGGTAATTATTATATGTTTGTATAAATACATCTTTACAAACAGATTACTGCTCTGTCTGTATAATTCCTATTCCTTAACCACTTTATTTTAGCTTTCCCACCGCAGAGTCCCCAATTTCCCTCTTTATTTTTGCTTCCCACCACCAGAGTACCCAATTTCCCTCCCTAATTTCCGAGCTTCCCTCCCTAATTTCTAAGCTTTCCCTTCCCGGTAGACTAGACCCAAGTAATTTCTGAGCTTCCCTCTCTAATTTCGAGCTTCATTTCCGCTAAAATCATACTCCCCTCCACAGATTCCTCATTTTCCATCCCTAATTTCTGAGCTTCCCTCCCCGCAGATCTCCAAAATTTGTAATTAATTTTGGTAAAACTCAAAAACCCATTGAACCCAGCTGCAAAATTCATTTTCTCCAGTCTAATCCATTAACAACAAAGGGTTTCGCGTAGCCAACCGTAGCCCCGCTTGCTTTCTCTTCTCCGTCAACCATGCTACCGCCGCCTCTCTCCTCTCTGTTTCTATACGACTCCATTAGGCTGTGCATGCTCAACTTTTCTATTACTGGTTTCATTTTTGTTTTCTGATTGTTTGGTTTCTGATAAAAAGTGAGGATTCTGCTTGATTTTCATGTCTCAAAGTTACATATGTGGGAAGAGGAGTGCTTGGGGCACTCGCCTCCTGCACTTTCTGGCCAACACTTTCATTTTTATTGGGGCACGTTATTTTGGTTTGAAAGAGGTTGCACTACAAAGCTAGAAACAAGCTTACGTTGCCTACTGAAAGGGGAAGTGTTGGCTGGAGAGTGCAAAGGGCGAGTGTCCCTAGCACTGCTCATGTGGGAAATAAATATTTAGATTGAATTTAAATGTCTATAGTCCAAAATGACTTGTGTTGAAATTGTTTAAGTGGTTTGTTTGATTGCTCAGAAA